TGCGATTTGATACGTGACTATTTATTTCTCCTTATTCACTCTTGGGCGGGGCAGGACCTACCCAAACAAAGTGCTCACCAACAGGTAGAAGTATGACTTGCTCTTGGCCCACTCTTCAGAGCTACAGCTTGAGAACAGATGTGTACAGCCCTGAATCCAATCCCTCGTTACTAGCTTTCTGCCAGAGCTCCCCAGCCCCAATGAACTGATATCTCCTCCTATTATCATGGCTTAGTTTGTGGGTACGCTATAAAGGCAGAGTGCACCCAAAGCTACAGTAGCCATCCGACACAACTCTCCAGAGTATGGATCTAGTCCTCTCAGAATGCAAAATGCTCATGTCTGTGCCCCGTCACCTCCTGCCTAGCTCTTGTCTGGGAGTGTCTCTCTAAATACACTTAGGAAAAAATTAAGAAAGGAGACAGTCTGTGGGCAAATTCAGAGAGAACTCATCCAATGGAGAGACAGAAACCCTATTTTTCTAACGAGTCTAAATCTCAGAGTCAGGGACCAGACACTAGGGGAAAAAGAAAACCTTTGCCCAGGTTTTTGCCTATAGTTTCTGTCTTTTGAGGAAAAGTTTGAGTTTGCTATGAGGTGAAACTGTATGTGTGTGTGGTGGGGAGGGAGGGTGAGGAGGAGGGAGGGAGAGGATTAAACATACTCCATGAGTAGGTTATCAACAGGGGACACTTGTCACTGATCCCCTGTGGGTTGGCATCAGTCACAACTCTCAGTGTTATCATGAATTTCTATCTTTTTCGACTCTCATCATGTATACTTTAGTGGAGAGTTGAGAGATAATCCACCAGAGGTTGTCGGCAAAGTGCCATTTTTAACTAGAAAATTACACATTTATAATTTAGTACAGAACACTTGGCCTTCAAGATCCCAAGTTCTTTGGGATTAAAAGGAATGTGGTCTTTTCTTCGTTCATTCCACCAGCCCCTACTAATGATTGCTGTCTTACCTGGGTCTAGCTTTCCTAGTGAAGGCCTACTATGTGGATAGCAACAGAGCCTTCCTCAGCACTGAGCAGTACGGTTACATATTTTTCCCAGTTCTGAAGGTGTCTTGGGATGAGCCTCATTATTGTTTGCCAGTAGACTAAGTAGCAGTGGCTTCAAAGATCCTACCATGCGTGTTTTTTTGGTTATGTCACTGTTTTACTACATTCTTGGTGGAGTAAAGGACTAGAGCCTTGCATTAATTCCATAGAAGAACCATATCACAGATTTTCACTCCTTATTCTACACTACTAGAGATCAAATATCCTAACTTGTCCAACGCTGTCCTGTCTGAGATCAGATGGGGCCCAGGTAAAACCCTGAAGGAAAAAAAAATGAGACTTTAACACCTCCATTTTCCTGTTTCTTCATCTTTGGGCCAGCCCAGTATGCATCAGTTAAATTCTTTTAGGACACAAAGAAGAGGCAAGGTTAGGTTTCCTTAATCATGTCATCATGACCATGACCTGACCATGAACATCATCAGCAGATACCAATCTCCTTGTCCCATTTCCAAGTTTCTTCTCAACTAAATTGACCCTCCTTCTGCCATTGCTAATATAGTCACCCTGTTGCTCTGGTGTCTTGCTGGATGTGAAACTTCTCCAAGAGGTTTGCAGGACTTCCAAGCTACACTCTGAGAGGTATGGGGCACCCTTCCTCTGCATTTCCAAAAACGATCACTCTGAAGATGTTCAGTGTCCAGTTCCTGAGGTTTGACACCAGCGAGAGCTGGGAGGCTAGAAGTTCCTGTTCACTCCATTAGCCAGACCAGGCAGGGCTGTATAACCTCCCTTGTGTGATATTGGCATCCTCCCTGCTGTGGTTGATTTAGAACTCAGTCATCTCATCCTCTAGGCCATAGTTTTTGATCTTCCAAACCAAGACTTCAGAATTCTGAACAAAGCAACAGCAATTGCAACAGCAAGTGACTCCAGCACATATCTCTGGTAAATCAAAAGTGCTTTACTTTTACACTTTTGTGTCTGCTGTAAATTTGAAAATCCATTCAGAAGCATTCGGTTCCCCTCAAGCAAGGACCACTACTGAGGGAGCAGAGCCATAAAATACAAAGAGCTGGGAAACCCCTTCAGGCCACCTCCCACTATGGGAGCTTTTCTGTCCTCTCAATAAATCCTGCTTTCAAAAAAAAAAAAGAAAGAAAGAAAATACATAGAGCCAGCTGGGGATAGGGAGCCACAGGAATAGAAGGTGTCTATGAAAGTCTCAAAAATATGATCTCACTGAAAGAATTTTAGACACCAAGCTAGGATACATAGACATTTTGAAAACATCTTCAAATCATACAGGAAACTGAAATGATGCTTCCCTTTACTCTAAGGGCAAAAGTAGCTGTATTTTGCTTCTGAGACTTGTAAAAATTACACACAAGAAGCTCAGTGTTAAATAATAGAGGATTGACTTGAATTTCTTTACAAAAGCCATGCATGATCTGACATTGTTCATGAGTCACCAATGTAGGTTCCACAGCCCTTTGTTGGTGTGACCTGCACCAGACAGGTGGACTCCCCAGGCTGAAGTAGTATCCTTCTAAAGCCAGATCAAACACATCAGATGAAGTATTGGAAAAGCAGATGCTTATTAAGCCACAGGGAGAAGCAGACATAAACCAAAGGAGGCAGATAGAAGAGGAGAAAGCCACTTTCCACGGTTTCAGGATGGGGCTGTCACAGAATTACTGCAATTGTGGAAATGACACTTCAGACACTGATCCAAGGAGCCTAGAAACCCCCCACCTCACAAAGAACAAAACCACCCTAATTGGAAACACTTAAAATGCCAGAAGGAAATGCTGTCACTTTTCCTTTTCCAAACCATAAATTACCATCGTTTCCTGGAAAAGTATTTCTGAACAGACTGATTGCCCCTTGAAAGAGTCAGAGACCTACTCTTTGAGACTCTTGCTTGAGACGTAGAAAATGTTTAACCATTCAGACTTCCAGAACCTGGGGGTGAAAACTGCCCCAAATGATCAATGGATGCTTACTCTCAGAGGTCAGACGCTATGAGTGTGAGCCAGCTGAAGCTATTACAAAAGCCAGTCCTCATTGTGATAAAGCACATTCTGGCAAAGCCACCAAAAGGGAAATTATAGCAATCAATACAGATCAAAATGAAAACCGGATGAAGGTTTCAGCCAAATCTGTCCTCACTTCTGCTGTCATATATTAACGTGCTGAAATCAGCACAATTTGTGGATTCGGGACATATGAATGTGGGAATCAAAATTGAGGCAACATTTAATTGAAGCTATGGCAGATCCTTGACATTTACAAGGGTTAGTGCTGCCTCCCACCCTTGCCAGCCTCTCTTTTGATTGCATTTGAAATATCTTTGTTTCTTCAAGTGACTTGAAGTACCCCAACTCTACACAGGCTCCCTCCATGTATTTAACAGATAATGTATAGACATAATATACAGGCTTTGAAATAATTTACAACAAAACTTCCTATGTTCTCTTTCAAACTTGTTGAGGCTATGTTTAAGCCTGTTGGGACTGATTCTGTGGAATTTTTTTTTGTGTGTTGGAGTCTCACTCTGTCGCCCAGACTGAAGTGTAGTGGCTGCTCCTGGCCACCGCAGCCTCGACCTGCTGGGCTCCAGCGATCCTTCCGCCTCAGCCTTCCAGTAGCTGGAACTACAGGCGTGCGCTACCACGCCCGGCTAATTTTTTGATTTATTGTAGAGATGAGGTCTCGCCTGCCCAGGTGGGTCTCGAACCCGCGGGCTCAGGCAATTCACTCACCTCAGCCTCCCAAAGGCGCAGGATTACAGGCTGAGCCACCGAGTTACCAGAGAACAGTTAAAACCCAGGAAGGATAGCCTACACAGGGTTTCTCCGCCAAACAGAAAAGTCAAAGTAACGCTCCCCATTCCCTGTCAAGAGATAGCCACATCCCTGGAAACTGAATGTGTTACTTTACATGACAAAAGGGAATTGTAGGTGGGATTAAAGAAATTGAGATAGGGAGATTATCCTGGATTATCCAGATGGACCAACTAAAATCACAAGGGTCCTTATAAGAAACAGGCAGGAGGGGCAGAGGCAGAAAAGGAGACATGACAATGGAAGAAGTGAGAATGATAAGAATTGCTGGAACGGGGTCATAAAACAAGGAATGAAGGCAACTTCTAGAAGATGGAAAAGGCAAGGGATGGATTATACCCAGAGTTTTCAGAAGGAACACAGCCCTACTAACACCTTGAGTTTAACCTTTTTCAGACTTCTGACTTCCAGAACTTTAAGAGGATATATTTGTGGTTTATTAAGTCACTTAGTTTATGGCAATTTGTTACAGCAACAATAGGAAACTAACATAAGCAACATTTGTCTTTAGCACCTCCCCTATATCCTCATTTTCTGTTTCTAACATCAAATGAAGCATCTAGTTCAATCAAGGTTACCAGAAGGATCTTTTTCTTTGTTAGAGACAACTCGCTAAAAACATTCACTCTCCCACCCCATGGTGTTATAAATAACTCCTCCTAGGAGCATTTGCATTTCTAAGTAGAACCTGGGAGAACATATTATATATAAAAGGAAAGAGAACGATGCTGATTACTTAAAGTAGATACCATAGCAGGTATTTTGCACATATCTCATTTAATTTCCCCAAACTACCCCCCACCAAGGTTCAAAGAAGATAAATAACTTATGCGATGAATGAGTCACTAAAGGTGAGACTAGAGCCCAGGTCTATATACTCCAAAATTCAAATTATTTTTACTAGACAGTGCTTCTTCTAAATTAATTATATGAAACAATAACATGCTAACAGTAGGATGTTTGCATCAATTTGGAAGACATGGTGATTTGGGAAGCAGACACCACTCCCTGGAAAGATACTCTGGGGAGCTCTTAGGTCTTTCTGATAGGTCATCATGGGCTCTCACTACTCTGTTTCCTTCTAGGGGCAACACCAAGTCGACGGGGTATGTCACCACTCCTAATTATTTTAAATCTTCTTATAGGTGTGTTTGCATTTGGACTTTTTGCTACTGACATTTTTGTAAATGCTGGACAAGTGGTCACTGGGCACCTAACGCCATACTTCCTGACCGTATGCAAACCGAACTACACCAGTACAGACTGCCGAGGGCACCAACAGTTCATAAACAACGGGAACATCTGCACCGGAGACCTGGAAGTGATAGAAAAGGCTCGAAGGTCCTTTCCTTCCAAACACGCTGCTCTGAGCATTTACTCCGCCTTATATGCCACGGTGAGTGTGTGTGTCTGGCTATGTCTCTTCCAAGTTGAATTTTGCTGGGATGTGTGTCTCTCTGTGCTCCCCACCCTCATTCAGCTTAGTGATTTTTAAAGTCATGCACAACATGCTTTTCCTATACTGTATTATGCTATTGATAAAATATCTCCCCACCCTCACCTCACTCACAATATCCCAATGTACTATCCTGATTGGCCAGAGGGTATTAGTTATGGAAAGAGTTTTAATAATCATCCAAGTACACCCTCCCATTTTACAAATGCAGAAGCTGAGGCCCAGAGAATAATAAAGGACATATTATACATCAGAGCTGGGACCCAGGCTGCTGGCAGCATGTCTTGGATTCTTTCACAACAGCACACTTTGCCAACATTTTGGTTGGTTTCAGAAGAGCACTCCCTTCTCACACCTACTACAAATTTGCAAGTGTGGACCTTATACAAATGGCCACTCAGCAACATGCAGACCCAGGATAAATACACAGCTTTCCTTTGCTCTGACACTTTTCTCCATCACTTTGCTAGGAGAGACAGGTGATCCTAAAAGAATCTCAACACCTAAAAGTTCACTTCTCACTGCTCCCCAAATCACACAGCCTTTGCCCCACTGGGAGTATCATTTTCTATTTTTTTTAATTGTTTTGCTCTAGTAACAAAGGAAACCTAAAGTGCGTACCACATCTTAAAATGAAAAACAGCGATGCCCCTCTTGTTTTCTTAGTCTTTAGCTGCATCCACTTTGAAATAACCTCATTTCACCCTTCTCTGGCCCAAGCGTCCTTAGAACTCAGAATGCAGATGTATAGGGGTCAGCTCAAAGACTCTGCATGCCGATAAAAGAACATCACTCGTGACGTCATGTGCATTTACCAGTGGAGAAAAAACTGCTGGCCAAAAATACCCCTTTTTCTTACTTCAGCTCATTTTATGTTTGGAATATGACTAGCCTAGTGATTCTTAATGAAAAGTAAGGAAGGGAAAAGACAGAGGAAAGACCCCTTTCAATCTATCCATTCTTCCCAGACATTGTGAGTGTGCCTTGGTCCCACCCCCCAGGGGAGATGCTCCCCTGCCTCACTGCTCCTGAGGCAACTGCAGGTGGCACATTCTGCCTGTGGGAAGAGAGTCAGTGCCACCGCCCTCAGGGTGAACAAAAGATGACTGATCATAGGTGTGGTCTATTTAGTAGAGTTTACAATAATTTGCTGCATATTCTCTTTAAAGCAACCAGGAGCAGGTCGTGCTTCTGTGTCTTGTTTACAGGATCACCTCTATAAGGTCCATTTGTCAATCACCTCTATCCAATATGTCTTCATAGTTATTTCTTTTAGACCTACTCTTTAATGAATACATGATAAATCATTTCAGCTGCTCTCACATTAAAGAAACACGGATGCAACTAACACAGAAGCCTCAATTTGCAAAACAGATTAAATTGTAACTTGAACTTCTTTGCTTCAACAAAAGTCAAACAAAAAAGAACCAAACAAAAATCCTCTATGGAAGTATTTTTTTAAACAAAGAAAGCCCTCTGGAATATTCACCATATTTTCTAATTTTCAGAATATTGATTTGTCCTAAATTATCTAGAACCTAAGTAAAACAAAGCAACTTGTGCCTTTTCTTGTATTTTTATCAGACTCAAGTCACTGCTGTGTGAAATTAATTTTTATAATGCCATTATAAAAGTAAATCTGTTACTCATAATAAACTACTGCCTTATCATCAAATGAAGCATAAACTTCTTTTGGCAAGATAGAAGTAAATATCTGCTCACACAGCGGAGATACTGCCATAGCACATGTTTTCAAGGATTCAAATATAATCCAATTCAAGTCATGCCTCACAGACTATAATCAGATAAACCCTGATATGAGATTCCAATTGCACATTTTCTGAGCCTATTACATGTTAAGTGCTTTCAGAAATCACTCAACAAGAATTTCCTAAGTACTAGTTAATATTGTGAAGAATACTAACTACAGGCTCATGCTCTTAATGGAGGACAATTTATAAAAGATGTAATTCGAAAACAATATAAGGCCATAAAAAACTAAAATACATAAAGTATATTTATATATTTAAGTTATATTTCTCACACAGTCTCAGAATAGTGAAATAACATGCTATCATTTATGTAACTTTGATCTAACCACAGTTTTGTAGGGCATCTGTTACATAGAAGAGATTCCCATCTTCCTGTATTTACACCAATGTTGAAGCATCATCCTAGGAAATTAACAATTTCCATTGTAATACTGTAAAATGCACCTATTTGAACTTATATGCACTCAGGCTATAGAAACACACTATACAAGTAGGCTATAATTTAATTATCAGTATGATTTCTCAGGGTTGCTAATTTCATTACGTGTAAAAAATGGTGGATCAATAGTTCCCTCTAGTGGTGACTCATAATCATCACCAAAGATGATCTAACAATATTTACTTGAGAGGCACATCTTCCTAACTCCAGACCACTAGGGATGCATTTGCTAATCAAGTCTGTCAAATTTGAGTCTTACTCAGCTCCTCGCAATCAACTCATAACACTCTACATCTCAGATGTCATAAATTGCATCATTCTTTGCTCAGCTCGTGTCTTCCCTACCTTCGGTATCTCGTGCCACACATAGAAACGTTTAATATTTTAAGACACATTGGAGAAAATGAACAGATGGAGCTGATCACAGCTGCCCCAAAGAAACATGGGAATCAATTTCCCAGCACAACTGAAACCCATTTGCGCGACACAGTGGCTAGGAAGTTCTACTTCAGCCCATCAACTAATCAGTCAACACCTTGTATTTAACTTGGAGAACACAAAAAGTGAAATGTGGGAGGGACACACCTCATCAACAAGGGTACCTGCAAAATAACATTTGTATGCCTAACCCTGAATTGTACTCCACATCTTGAAAATAAAAAAAATTTTTAAAGTGAAATGTACGGTCACTCACCTACCTGGTCTTCTCCACCACAGAACTTCATTCTCATAGATTTATTTGGTTTCTCAGATTCCCCAAACAATTTTCTAATTTGTTGCATAAAAACCATATGGTCTGAATCTGATTACTGTTATGTAGTCATTCCTCGTGTCACTCTAAGTTGTGTTCACATGCCCACTAGAATACAAACGACCAATGAATGTGCATTTGTTCATTGTTCTTGCTGCACAAGTTTCCTACCTACATTTTTTGCTAAGTAGTTTAGTGACGTTGTTCAAGGAAAACTAGCTGGTGCGTTGCTTTGTGTGTTCTGTGTATGTGCATGCATGTGTATGCACCTGTACAAGGAGGCTGCCTCTGTCCCATTCCAGATGTACATTACAAGCACAATCAAGACAAAGAGCAGTCGGCTGGCCAAGCCAGTGCTGTGCCTTGGGACCCTCTGCACAGCCTTCCTGACAGGCCTCAACCGGGTCTCAGAGTATCGGAACCACTGCTCGGATGTCATCGCAGGCTTCATCCTGGGCACTGCTGTGGCCCTGTTTCTGGTAGGTCAGCTTCCCTCTGTGCCAAAAATTTTTCCTCTTGTGCCCTCTGCAAGGCAGCTGGAGATCACGGTGGGGCAGATGTCCCAGACTTCATAGTCCAAGCCTGTGTTCCTCTTGTCCCAACCTTGCGAGTTGCAATTATCCTCCAAGTATTATGTGTCCTTTTGCTGCAAGAATGATTTCAAAGCACCTTTCAGAAATAGGATTGGCCATATTTTTTTAGGTGTCAGGGAGAGGATGGCCCCAGGAAGGACAACTGGCTCTACTTCTTTCAACACTGGGTTTGGGATTGGGGCCAGGCAAACTAATCATTTGGCATACCTTCAAACCAATCTTCTTTAAATATTGGTTCTTAGGGTATTGGGAGCAGAAGTGTTGCTTGAGGGAAAAACAGAGACTGAAGAGCACTGGTAGAAGCAAGCAGCCTCCTCTCCAGCATCCTAAGAAACTCAACTCTGGTCCCAAAGTAGCGTGTTCTACACAGAAATATAAAAACCCTGAGCTGGACACAGTGGCTCATGCCTGTAATCCCAGCACTTTGGGAGGCAGGGACAAGAGGATTACCTGAGCTCAGGGGTTCGAGACCAGCCTGAGCAACATGGTGAGATCTTGTCTCTACAGAAAATCAAAAACTCAGCCGAGCATGGTGGCACATTGCCTGTGGTTTCAGCTACTTGGAAGGCTGAGGCAGAAGAATCATCTGAGCCCAGCAGGTGGAGGCTACAGTGGCTGTGAGCATGCCACTACACTCCAGCCTGGGCGACACAGTGAGACTCCAATTCAAAACAAAAAACAAAAAAACCCTAAAACTAACCACATCTACACCTTTTTAAAGGCCTCTGCTATTATCTGAATCTGCTCCTTGGGAATCTTATTTCTATGACAAGTACTTTCTCAACCACATATCTTCCTGAAGAAACTCTTCTTTTTCTTTACATGGCTGATGATGTTTTTCTCAAATAGAGACCTGGCCATGTACTCACCTAGGTAATTCCTTAATTTGTGTTTAATTTGAACAGAAAGTTAATTTTTATTCTTTTTTGTCTTGTTTTTCTTTTACAGTTTTATTGAGGTACACTAGGCATACTATAAATGGCACATAAAGTATAAAATTTGGTAGATTTGACATAAAGCCTTCTCTCCCACGCTTTCTTTCTCCCTCATTTCCAAGCAACCAGTGATCTTCTATTTAGTTTGCCTTTGCTGGGATTTCATATAAATGGAATCTTATAACAGGCATTTTTTCTCTGGTATCTTTAACCTGGCATAAAAATTGAGATTCATTCACGTTGTAGAATATATCAATAATTCATTCTTTTTTTTTTTTTTTTTTGTATTACTATATAGTGTTTCATTGCCTGGGCATACCTCAAAGGTACAGAGTTTTATTATCTTCAAGGATTTAAAATAGGCTCAGAAAGATTTACAGCAAATCACCAGGCATGGAGGATCACATGTTGTACATAATATGAGTCTCCTAACAATATTCAGGAAGCCTGCCAAAAGAGAAATAAGCCACCATTGTCTTGAACAACCTCCTGCTCCTATTCTGCCCTTTCTGGTTCAAGTCCTATCAAGATTGGTATTATACATGGATGGATTTCATAGTCGTATGACTCAATTCCTCCTTTTCCTAGCCCTCCTCCCTGCTCTCCCAACATCTAACTCAGAGGTTTCAAACTTTTACCTGCCAAGATACACACAGAAAATGCTCACATTTATTGAGAACACTGAATGGGAAGCCCCATCCCAATTCAAAATTACAAAAACATACCTGAGATGTTGCAGGTTTGTTTCCAGACCACTGCAATAAAGCAAATATCACGATAAAGCTAGTCACAAAATTTTCTGGTTTCCCAATACATATAAAAGTTATGCTTACACTATACTGTAGTCTATTAAGTGTGCATTGTCTCCAAAAAAAACAATATATATACCTTAATTTTAAAAACACTTTTTGCAGCCGGGCGCAGTGACTCACATCTATAATCCTAGCACTTTGGGAGACTGAGATGAGAGGATTGCCTGAGCTCACAGGTTCGAGACCAGCCTAGGCAACTTGGTGAGACCTCATCTCTACAATAAATCAAAATATTAGATGGGCATGGTGACACGTGCCTATAGTTCCAGCTACTTGGACGGCTGAGGCGGAAGGATCCCCTGAGTCCAGCAGGTCGAGCCTGCGGTGGCCGTGAGTGTGCCACTGCACTCCAGCCTGGACAACAGGGTGAGACTCCAACTAAAAAATTTAAAAATAAGAAAATAAAACACTTTTTGCTAAGTATACCAACATGGACACAAAGTAGGCTACTGGAAAAATGGTGCCAATAGATTTGCTGGACACAGGGTTGCCATAAGCCTTCAATTTGTTAAAAAATACAGTATCTGTGAAGTGCAATAAAGCAAAGTGCAATAAAATGAGATATGCTTGTTTTGACTAAATCCAGGCATTCTTTCTGTAGTGAAAGATGAAAGACTGAAATGCAAATTATCTGGGTGAGGTTGCAGAAAAAGCAGTGTTGGAATCATCCTGAGATGTTAATATCTCATTAGGGCTATTTACTGAGGAATGTCTCTTTTTTATTTTTATGGATACATAGTAATTATACACATACATGTGATATTTTGATGCAAGCATACAATGTATAATGATTGAATCTGGGTCATAGGGATATCCATCACTAAAACGATTATGATTACTTTATTTTTTGTTTTTTTAAACCCCCCCCAAAACTCTCCTGTGCCTCTTTGTATTTTTCTGGTTGTTTTGTTTTTAATTTTAGATTCAGGGGGTGCATATGTATATTCCTTACAAGGGAACATGCCAAGTCTATTCTTCTAGTTATTTTGAAGTATATGAGAGGGACCCAAAAAAACCCAGAATTATATTTTGGAGAGTCAGCCCTTGTAAGAAAGTTTTCCCCCACTAGGTAAGTGTTCTAGGAATCCATCAGTATCAATGTACCAGGTAGCATTGTTGTGAGAGGCTGCATTCAAGTTCAGTTAATTTTTTTTTTTAGATTCTTTCGATGCCTTTCCCCATTTTATGATGGGTGATTTACGAGTGCACCTGCCCACACCACACTGAGTGTTCAGCAGCTTTTGACCAAAAAACAGCATGACCTCCAGGCCTCACCCTTCCTATTCACTTGATCTCACCCCAAGTGATTTTTTTTGTTTTTTTCCCTGAATGAAAAAGTCCTCAACGGGAAACGTTTTGCAGATGTGAAAGAGGTGAAACAAAAAAAAACGGCAGAAACCCTGAAAGTGCAAAATTGGCAAGTTCAAAAACCGTTCTGAGAGTAGTGGAAAAAAACATCTTGTAGGTGTGTTGCATCAAACAGAGTACTTTGAAAGTGACTGAAGTTTAAACATGTAAGAATAAATACTCAACTTTTTAATCAATAAATTCCAGGAACTTTTGGATCCCCCCATACAGTAAATTATTAACTATAGTTGCCCCATTTTGCTGCCGAGCACTACATCTCATTCCTTCTGTCTGACTGTATTTTTGTAACCATTAAGCAACATCTCTTTACCCCTCTTCTCTCCACTACCCTTCCTGAGGAATGCTTTTTAAAAGAAGGAAAGAAAACAGTTGGCTTGAAGAGAAGAGAGGAGTTTCAAAGAGAGATCAGTGGTGCATACATAAAGGCTTGAGCTCAAAAGAAGAGCCAAACAATTTTGCCATTCCTCAGAATTAGAGCCAGCCATCTCCAGTTAAAGAGATGACTGTCCCAAGCAATTATATGAGAGCTTTGTGGGACAATATCTGTGGACGCCTTCATGTTTGCTCAAGCCCCATATTCTGCTTTAACATTAAACTTGTTTTCTCTCCATGAATTGCAGTCCTGCTTTTTTATTATTCAATTACTATTTGGTCTGTTATTGCTTTCAAGTGACTTCCCAATGAATGTCAAAATGTGTTTTCCCACAAACAATCTCAGCGTAAGACCCAGATCTGCTGAGTTACTAAGGCATGAGAGAGACCACCCTGCCTGTATATACAAATGCACGTGTACACACCTCACAGACACACACAAAGCAGGGAAATGGGAGGGGAAGGATGTCCTGGAGGTGCCTGGAGGCAATCCAAGGCAGAGACTTGGAGAAGGGACCGAAAAAGAGAGAAGAGCAAAACCTGAGAATGGCAGCATGTCTTCTGTATATGTTCAATATCGCTTTGCATATTTGTGTTTCCCATGAGGAAACATGTGGGGAAAGGGGGAGAACATTATTAGTTGGGCAAGCATCACCTGCCCTATGCTTTATATATATCGAGTCAAGTGCTCCTGGGTCAACCCCGACAATATCTGCATCCATCATTTTACAGATGAGGAAAGTGAGGTTCAAAGATAAGTAACTGGCCCAATAGCAACCCAACCACTAAGCCAAGAATCTGTCCCGGGTCTCTCAGCTCCATAGCTCCCACACCTTCCCCTGCTCCCATTTCCTGAATGGAGGAAGGGAAAGCAGAACTGGAGAATGAGATGGAGGTGACCCAGGCAGAGGATTTATGTTAATGTCCCGCAGGGTGTGAAGGGTGACAAAAAGATTCAAAGACACTGGATGAAGAAAACAAAGATGCAGGACAATGAAAGAAAAGTATGGAAAGAGGCAGATATGCTCTCCTTGGGCAAAAGGGGCAGGGACAATAGTAAAAGCAGTTAGTTATGAAGGGCCCTCAAAGACAAGTAGGTAGTAATTGATAGGGAAAGCTTTTAAATGGAAGCAACAAAAGAAAACTGCCAGTGATGAGTTATTTAGTTTTAAGCAAATAGTCACACTTTGAGGATGAACAGCAAAGGGGGAGTTAAAGACCAGCTAACATGGACTGAGTACTTGCAATTTTTTTGGCACTTGTTAAGAGGCAGAATAGTACAGGGGTGTGATTTAGGGTCTCTGGAGTTTAAATCTTTATGTGACCTTGGGCAAATTATCTAACTTCCCTGTGCCTGCTTATCTGAGCTGGAGATAAGAATACCTGCCTTGTAAGATTGCTGGATGGGTTAAATAAGAAAAAATCCGAAGTCAGGACAGTGCCAGACACATAGTGGCTCTCAGTAAATGTTAGTTATTTTTATGAGGTGATTGACATTCATCGGTCTGTAATCATTCCACATCTATGGAGTAGGTCTTGCTATTTTTATTTTACGGGTGAGAAAACAGGTTTAATGGGGATTGACTATCACTAACCATCTGGTGACTAATCAGATGCTTCCTTAACACTTAGAATGTGATCAGCAGACACCCTGGCCATGCCTCAGGCTTCCTGTGGTCCCTACCCCTCCCTCAAAGAAAAAAGGTCACTATGGTGATGATATTCTAAGGAAAGGCCTGCTACCCTCTCAGGTGCTAGGCATTGATGGCTGCAGTCTGACCCCAATTTCTTTTTCCCCCTCATCCTGCAGGGAATGTGTGTGGTTCATAACTTTAAAGGAACGCAAGGATCTCCTTCCAAACCCAAACCTGAGGATCCCCGTGGAGTACCCCTAATGGCTTTCCCAAGGATAGAAAGCCCTCTGGAAACCTTAAGTGCACAGGTATAGTAAAGTGGTTTTAGCAAACCAAACCCACAGGCTTAAACCTGTAGCCTTAAGAGGTAAATCAATCCACCGAACCTAGCCATCATCAATAAAAACCCAATTCATTGATCGTAAAGTCCCTCAAGAGAGGAGTCTTCACTATTTCCCCCAGTTAGTTCTGTAGTTATTCTAAGGATTGGCAATAATGAATCCTCAGGAAGTTCTTAGTAATGTCTAACTTATACTCCAGCTGTTTCAGGATACTTTGACTTCCAATGTAATACTGTACTTAGGAAATTTGAACTAATTGCATAAAAGGTTGATTTGATTTAGCAACTAAGGCAATATTTAAAAATAAGAAGGTTGTGTTACATTCAATGAGTTGAACTGGATGATGTTAAAAAGTCATAACTAAATGTCCTCTTAAATGTTTTGTAACAAAAATTCAATACAGCTGTACTTTCTTATCTGTTATTCTACAAAAGGACCTTGTATCATGCCAAAGATACAAAAAATAATCTTGCCTTCAAAGAACTCAGAGATGATTAGGAAAGATGGGGATAAGTGAGTAGCCATAATATGACATGCTGAATCAGAGGTCCACAAAATGGTATGTGAATAGAAATGAAGGAAAACAATCTACTCTGTCAAGGGAAAACCATGAAGACTTGCCAACTGATACATGCCTGGAAAGATGGTATTAAGTATTTACTTTGGCCTAGGACAGTTGCTAGGTGCTTTACAAATATATTCCTATTTGAACAACCACCCTATTGAATAGATACTATAGTTCCCATTTCACAGATGAAGATGAGAATACTGTAGACAGGGGTGTGAAATTACTCCCCCCAGGCCACATAGCTAGCTAGTGGGAGAGCTGGGATGAGTAGGAGTTCTTCAAGCAGACAGAGATGCGGACAACTAATAATAAAACAGAGTTTTATTAGAATGCTACCTTTTTCAGGCAGCTAACTCCTACTAAAGTGTTTATTTTCTATAACAGCCTATCTTAAAATCATTATTATTTGGCATTTCCTTATTAAGCCATTTTTATAGACAGTGCAAAGGAAAAGCAAATTATTTCCTATTGAAGTTATCATGTGCTTCATATCAGTGTAATATAATATTTTTCACTATTTAAAAATTATTAACTATCAGACATCTCTTAAAATAAACTATCCTAAGTTTTTTCACCTTTAATGAAATCTTTCTATTGTTATTAATGAACCGCAAAAAAAAAAAAAAGCCACAGTAAAGCTATCTCCATTTTGGAAAAAATATGTAGGACTGTCCCTTAACTTGTATTAAAGTCATCATTTCAACTTGGTCTCATTAGAAATAAAACATTGAAAAAATTATATTCAGCCTCTTGGTACAGGTTGAATGATAAATTAGTTACACAATGATGCCTTGTAATGAAATGTTGAAATAGAATCTCTCCAGCTTTTCATCTCTATCTGTGTTCCTGTACCAAGTGAGAACAGAGTGATCATCCCTATTTTTGAGGTGAAGTAACTAAAGACAAAGGCAAATTTAAAAAGGAAACAAAAAGTATGTTCCGAATTCCACAAACATCAGTCTCTATGTCCTTGTAAATGCTGTCCCTAAATATCCTAAGAACACCCCCTTTGTACTCCATCCTTTCACCCAATACTGCTCAAGCATTACCCTTGTCTAATGCCTTCCCCAGATTTCTTCCTATCTTCATCCTCAGGACCACTGATAGTTGACCAGGCCTAGAGATGTCCAGGCCCTATTTTTGAGGAACTCTAATTAAATTGCAAAATGAAGTGCTTAACAGGATTTTAAAAACTGCTACTCAAAGATAAATGATTCATATTCATATGTATGATAATATATATATGGATATATGTATCCATCCACTGTATATAGGCAGTAGTTGAACTTCTCTCAAATCTGTCGATACTGATGTAGCTATGGATATCACCTCATCTGGATACAATTTGAGGTCTTTCCTGAATACCATGCTTGGACCAAAGGACGTCCATCTCATGTGATTGCCTTTCACAAGTAAAGCCAAGTGTTCCCTCATACCTATCTCCCCCAAGGGCTTGGGGATCTTTGAGGATTAGGACCCCATAAACTCTCTCTTATTTTCCATATTTCCTGGCATTCACTATGTGCGAAATAAATGTTTTATTAATGCAAAAAATATAACCAAAACCTGAACTAGATTCTTCAGCCAAAACCAAGAACCTCAAACTAGACCATAGTCACTATTTGAACACCCATGGAAAGTAGAGATTTATGAGAAACAACAAGCAGGACTTCCACAGGCTAGTATTGCCTCTTAAATTATGCTATTCATACCAATTATGAAAGATTCAAGTAGCCAAGCATCTGCTTTTGTTATCAAATGTTTCTACATGGGTAAGAAGTATACCCTTTACTTTTCAGTCAAGAAAAGAAAACTAACGTTTATTGAAAGCCATGTCATTTACTATTCACAGTACTGCAGTTGGTATTATTATCCTATTTTGTAGGTGAGGAAAGGAAGGCATCAAGTTTAAGTAAAATGCCGTAGGTCATCCAGTCAAAATTAAACACAGACCCATCTAATTCTGAAGACCCTGCTTATTCTACCATACCATACAGCCTGTGGTTTCATTCAAGGAAAATTCGTTTTTGAAAGCCACAACTTCCAGTATTGAATATGGAAACAAACTACAGAGGGTAGTATGTTTGACCCAACCTATATACTGTTCTTCCAAAATAAATATTTTTTTTTTTCCTGTGCATCTCCAATGACAATGGTTTTTAGTAGAAACTGCTTCTTTATAATTTCTGGAATAGAACCATCTGCCCAGGAAGAGGATTTTTTGGGATCTGAGAGACTAGAATCTCTCTTCAAAGCACACATTCATACACATGAAATCCATCCCATCATTCAAAATACCTGAAGAAGAAAACTGGATGGGGAAGATGCCAGTCACCCTCATTCCCTTCCTCTCCCTTTGCCACATGGAGCCCCCAGAGCTACTGTGCTCTTCCTTCTTCTCTAAAACATTAACTCAAATGTGAATAACTGCCTGTTATTCCCCTTAGAAATAGTTGATTGTGATGGGGTACATTTTCTAATATCTTTCCCAAGTACTAAAGAGAAACCAAAAAAGTATATAATTATTAAAAAAAAAAAGTCAAGTTTTCAAAGCATTCTTTCATCATGATCCTATACAATTGTCGTGAGCCTAAAAAGACCAACTATTCATGTTCTACACTCCAGTGTCTATGATTCACCTGAGGAATCAAACTTAGGGTTGTACAAATGTGTTGTCAACACAGTTTCTATAACAAAAATTAAATTAGAAATGAAGCAACTTGTTAACCCACTCTGGATGTGGTATTGAGTCTTCCTATGACTTCCACTTGGGGGAAAAGAATATTTTAAAACACAAAAAAAGAATTATATCTGTACTGAGACCACAGATGCCTGGACTTCCACCCCAGGAGATTCTGATTCAGCAAGTATGGTATACAAAAAAATTTAAAGAAGTCGTCCCAGAGAACTCTGATGAACTAGTGATATTATAGACTTCATATTATAAATAGAAAAAAAAAAAAGATCTGGAGGGAAAGTTAAAGAAATCTGCCCAAAGACACCCAGCTAGTTATCCTAGGATATTGAACTACTTTACCACTTACTCTTAGATGGAATCCTATATAAATGACCAAAGTATTGACCAAAAAAAATTACCAATAGTAAGTGTATCATACAAGTAAAAGCATAAAAAGAAAAACTATATTTTGTCTTATGGCAACAAATACACCAAGCCTCAATTTTTACAAGAATTGCAGACAAAAGTAACTAGAAAAATACAAAATACTCAGTTTCTAAAATGTATAGCTGATCTCTCAAGAATATACTGTAAATCCCCAGTGTCCTAAAAACAAATCAGGAAACCAATAATAATCAATTAGATTAAAACCACAATTTCTTTAAGTATTTGCTCATTTCATGAACCCAAAACATTGAGTTTAAGTTCAAATAAAAGCCTTGGGCCTGTAAGAGGTGGGAGTTTATATATATATATAAGTTGAGTGTGTCTATTTGATAGGCCAGGAGGTTTCCACTACATATGCACACACAAAAAAGTGCCCTTGTACTTTCTGTCTGATTGTGGCAGCCAAGATTGAGTAAAGGAATACAGTTGAAGAACATGGAGAGAGAATTTTTGCAACTAAGGAATAACCTGTAAGCAGTGAAGAGCCTGTTTTACTGCAAAGAAGAACCCCAAATTTAAGTTTACATGAGAAGTGTTGGGAAATATCGCCCAACACCCTCATCTGGTGACTATCCTTGTAAAGATTTAGAGGTTGAAATGAATTAAAAGTAAGCCAATGACCAAAAAAAGAAAGAAATGTTATAATTACAAGGAAAATGGATGCATGCTCATAGATTTTAACACATTTCTCTCAATATACAGAGAGAAATACATGACAGTAAAATTAATCTGATGTGCATTATATATAACCCTCCTCAAAACACAAGAAACATTATGAAAATAGATCATGTGCAAGACAGTTTCTTTCAAGCAAGTCTCAAGAAATTTTATTGGGTTTGTATGATGTAGACCACATTCTCTAGGGAAAAAAAGTAACTAAAAACTTACCCAAAAAGTCCCATACATTTTGAAATATTAAATTCATCTATATATAGTGAATGACTCAAAGGATAAATCACATGGAAAGTTTTTAAAAATTGGAAGTGTTCAATATTAAAAACACTATATTAAGAAATGCATAGGATAACTGGGCGCGGTGGCTCGTGCCTGTAATCCCAACACTTTGGGAGGGGGAGGCGAGAGGATTACCTGAGCCCAGGGGTTTGAGACCAGTCTGGGCAACATGATGAGACCTCGTCTCTATAATAAATAAATAAATAAATTAGCTGAGTATGGTGGTGCACGCCTGTAGTTCCAGCTACTTGGAAGGCAGAAGCGGAAGGGTCACCTGAACCCAGCAGGTGAAGGCTGTGGTGGCCGTGAGTGTGGCTACCATTCCAGCCTGGGCAACAGAGTGAGACTTCAATTAAAAAAAAAAAAAAATGTGTAGGATGCTGTTATTTTGAGATCCTTAAATGCTTATATTTGAAAATAGTTAATAATTATGAAAAGAACAAGTTTAGATAAATGGTTTTATTTTGCTTGAAAAAAATCAAGATTTCATGAAAGAGGTAATGGAATTTGAAGGGCCATGTAAGAGCATATTAGGGAGAGGGAACAGCCTGTGCAAACTTGAGCAAATAACAAGGGAATTTTCAGGGACAAATGAGTGTGTGCATGAGTTAATCAATCCAAATCTAAGATTTTATCTGCTTGTGTTTACTCCACAGAATCACTCTGCCTCCATGACCGAAGTTACCTGAGACGACTGATGTATCACACACTGTTTTTTAAAATTACCTTCCAATTCGATACTTCAAAACACACAATTACCCAATGTCAAACTGTGACAACCAATATTATGCTTATCTAGTTAGAGGCTAATGTTTTGTACATTTTTTGTATGAGGAAGTGATGTAGCTTGCCCTGATTTTTTTTTTTTTTTTTTTTGGTCAGCTTTAATATATTTATGCCAGAATTTTAAAACCAACAACATCTTCTTCTTGTTCAAGTATGCATTGAAGAACCACATTTATTTAATGGCTGAAGTTGTTTTGTGATATTTGAACACAAGTCTTCCTTTCTTGGTTTTATAAACACAGATAATACCTATCACAATTCACTTTAAACTTTTATTACCACAGTTGCTGCCTCCTCCAGAATTTTTGAATTTTAATGAAAGTTAAACTTTTGAGTTGCAGGAAGGACAATGTTGGTTAATGGTAATTCTCAAAAGTCAATTGTGGAAAAAAAATCATCTTCAAAAAGAACTTTGCATTCTAATCTCTTAACAGGTTGTTACACTCAAAGTTAAAGAAATACATGAATGAAATCAACTAGTTACACTAACTAGTTGTTACTAGTTAGTCAGAGAATACTGATGTGGGGGGTATTGGGGTTATATGATTCTTTCTTAGATAATGGCCTCGCCCACCTGGGAACTCAAGACCTTCCTGGAATCATGCCCTTGGGCAGGCAGGTGACACTGTAACTTTCTTCCCAAAAAACAGCCAACACCAGCCTCCCTTGTCAACTCAACAGTTTTATATATCATATTGTATGAACTTTATATGAAAATGAATATTTTACAGTTTGCGCAGTATTATTTTACAGTTTGCGCAGTATTATTTTACAGAAAGGGAATCAGAGCATCTACAACAGAGCAACAACTTCACTTTGTGGCTTTTAATTGTTCTAGACTTTTAACTGCATCTCATTTTTCTAGCATGGTGATAACTAATGTGTAACTCCTTTCAGAGAAGGAGCTCCTTTGTCTTTTGTCAGAATGTTTTCTTGACACTTCCATGTTGGCTCTTCTTAGCTTTTTTTGTACATATTTTTTTTCTAAAGAGAAGAAAAAGTTATCACAAAACATATTCTGGCTCATGTCTTTTGTGTTAAGCTTTACCCACTGGGCAAAGGTATTTGAAGAGTCGTGATGAGGTGAACTCAACAAATGTTTAGACTGTTCCATTCCTTGTCTGCTGAGATAAATATTAATAGAGGCATAACTGAGAGGTCATTTTGTGTGTAAGAGTGAGAGTGTGAGTGTTTAGGTAAATAATTCTTTTAATTATTACTCAGAAGCACATGCTGGAGGCCTAGCATGCTACCTGTCTTTAGCTTACCCATAGATGCTTCTGAGTTGTCAGTATAAAGTCAGACAGTTATTTATAGGAACGAAAATCACCTCGGCTGAAACTTTTCTTAATCCCTATCTCATCCTGGTTTAAGCTTACCTACACACGTGAAATACTCTCACACACATCATCAAGGTGATATCTGATTAAAGTACCAGAGTATTTAAGGCTCTATTCATCTCAGATGCTAAACCATGTACTTTAACAAACATGGTCTGGTTGTTCTCAAAGCAATGATTCAGGGAAGCTGTTACAATCCCAAAGTAGCACTACACATATTGGCACTAATATTAGAATCCAGGTCCGCTTGACTCCAAATGTCACTCGTTTTGCTATGTTCCTGGTAACATTCGGCTGTGCTCCTTAATACCAGTAAATCAAAGGGGCAGGGAACTGGTAGAAAGAAGTTTATTTCTGAGTTTGAATCCAGGGAGCAGAGCCATACTTGAGGTCTTTCTAAAATGGTTCTGCTCACCCCCCCAGGCTTTTACAGTTCACTTTAATAAGTCCAGAGTTGTTAGTCCCTATGCATTAGCCACATCACCAGCAGAACACTGTATAGAACTTGAGTTTCAGCCGCATTTATCAATAGTGACATTTTTCGGTCCAGGCTTCCTGGTGCCAGGTATCAGAGGTGTCTCATAGCTTTTATTAGTAGGGCCTGACAGAAGCAGTAGTCAAGCCTGCCATAGAGTAAAGGGCCTAAGACATCATGCATTACACAAAAGTTATACAAATCACAAAACTTACGATTACATTAAGACAAAAGTGATATAAATCACAAGGCTTAAGATTACATTGATACTATATTATTCAAACTTATAACCACTAAGAAAAAGGAAGCAAAAGGAGATTGGCAACTTTCAGTTGATTGGCGTAAACTACTGGGAAGTCAAGGCTCCCCTGAAGCTACTTACCAGTAGCACATAGGAGATAAGGGGAAGTGCACCTTTTATTAGCTCTCAGGAATACTGTTCAGGAATGTACAGGAGCACTTGAGCCTCTGCCATGCCCTTCTCTAGGGGCTGTGTCAATATGAACAGACATTAGCGGGTCTCTATCATTTTCACTACATCAAGATACCTTTGAACCAAGTTCACATCTTTCTGAGGGTTTTCAGTGTAGTATGCCCACTTAGATGGTTCAGGAGATGCTGCTGGAAGAAAAGGAAATCACGAGAAGGAATAATTTGCAAGCTCTGAGCTCTCCAATTCACCACCTACATATAATGTCTCCCAATTTCCGAATGACTTTTTTTCTAAACATTTTTAGAATTTTTTAAGTAGCAATGAGGGATCAGCTTTATTTCATTATTCATTACCAGATAGGTTGAAAAAATGCAGGCAGGCTAAATCACTTTTACATTACCCATTTCTTGTCACAATGAGAGGTTGTTTAAATGTCTGGCTACCAGATAGCATTTCCAAGAACATAAGTCAGGTTAACAAGGTGAGTCATGTTACCCTTCTACTCTTCTTTCTAGTTTTGATTTTGGAGGTATCTATTGGCAATGTTCCAGGAGCTCTGACCACAGACTCCATTTTCCTGACCTTGGACTTGATGCATGACTGAGCTATGCAGGCAACCACCCTGGTGCACTTGGAACTAAGGGGCACACTCAATCCTGGAATCCCTGAGCCAGTCTGATTCCTTTTCCTTGTGTCATGGCAACCTTGGTATTGCTTCCTATTCAACCCCAAGACACCTCACAGACTCCACACTAATTTTTCAAGTCTGCCATTTGAGATTCATTTCTTCAGGCTAGAGACTTTTCTACTTGGGCCTTCTACCAAGGACAAAACCCTCTGTCCAAATAGGATAAATGGTCACTGTGGCCTCAGAAAATGAATTCTGCAGTGAACTTTTCTTACTGTTTTTGAGGAAAGCCCAGAGGAGCCTGAGAAAGTCCGACTCACTGGGAGATGAAGTGGGAAGAAACAAAAGAAAGGCTAATCAGGTGTGATGACATAAGCAAACTCTTAAGCCCATTAGCCCCTGTAGATATCTATGACATTTTTCACTTATTTGATTCTGTCCCAGAACATGGCCTGACAGAGAGAAACTTAAATTTTCTCTGATAAATAGATATTGGAGTTATTCCTAATTTGACTGAAGAAAGGTCATGACTTTGGAAATGGAGGGTTTTAATGAGGTCTATAGGTAGCTGAAAGATGATATATTTAGATACAGGAATAATAACAGGAGAAAACTGCACTCAGCAGTTGTGAACGGGTGCCTCTTTTGCTCGGTTCAAAAAATCTCCCTTTTAGGCTATGATAGACAGAAAGGCTACATGTAGCTCTACCGAACCAGAGGATGCAAACAGCCATACTTCTATACTTAAAGGAGAGGGAGTAAGTATCACTGGGATTATTTAAAAAGAAAAACCATGAGTGGCATTTTTGTTTCAAAAAGCCGGGTTCGGTGGCTCAGCCTGTAATCCCATGCTTTGGGAGGCTAAGGTGAGTGGGTTGCCTGAGCCCACGGGTTTGAGACCCGCCTGGGCAACTTGGCGAGACCTCATTTCTACAATAAATCAAAAAATCAGCCCGGCATGGTAGTGCATGCCTGTAAGTCCAGCTACTTGGAAGGCTAAGGCGGAAGGATCACCGGAGCCCAGCAGGTCAAGGCTGTGGTGGCCAGGAGCGACCACTGCACTCCAGTCTGGGCGCAGAGTGCGACTCCAACTCAAAAAAAAAAAAAAAAAAAAGCAAAAACAAAACTAAACAAAAAACTGGCTAGACTCCCTATTATATGCAACTACTGGAACCACTTAAGGGTGTTGACTATCTTGGAGGCAGACACATCAAATACCAAATTGCCCCATTTGTTTTAAGGAGTAGGTTACCTTAAGACCATGACACTATTCCTGCCTGATTGAATTCAAGATGTGTACTAGAATTTTACTATCATCCCTGTACTACTATGGGGATTTTGTAGTGAACACGCCTCTTGCTAATATCCTCCTTGAGTCAGAATGTTTGCAGATCAATTGATACATTCATTTAGTAAGTATTTACTGAGCATGTACTATGTACTAAGAATCATACTGAGAACTGGAGATGAAAAAAATAGACCAATTTCTTACTCTCATGGAACTTAAAGTCAAGTGGAAGAAACCAAACCACAATAAAACATTTAACATATAATTAGTTACTTGAAGGGATGTCTGACTTAAATGAGGAAGACAGTTATCAGAATAGGCTTCTCTAAAGAAATTACATATGTTGGGTTATTTAGAATAAGGAGGTAACTAGACAGAAAGCAGGAGGAGCACATATGGAAGCCCCTGGGGTAAGGAAAAAGCCTTACACATGTAAAAAAACTGGAGGCAGGCTCATGAGTAAAAGGAAAAGAGGCATCTGATGATGCTGGAGAATATACTGGAGCTCATGGAGGCCTTGTAATGAACTTTGGAATTTACCCTAAAGTTGCAGGAAGCCCTCAGTGGACAGGAAGTTTTCAGTAAGCAGGAGTATGGCATTGTTAGATTTGTATTTTTAAAGATTCCTTCTGGGCTTCATCTGTGTGTAGAATGGGTTGAAGGGAACCAAGAGCAGAAGTGAGTGACCATTAAGAGACTACTGTGTTAGGTAAGACATGATTATGATTGAAGTAGGGTAGTGGCAGCAGTGATAAAAAGAACATGGGTTAGAAAGAAAAGAAAAGTCTTTAGGAGGTGTATTCAACAGGATTTGAGGCCAAATTGGATGAGGTGGGATGGTGGCTTTCAATAATACTCTCTTCTTAGAAAACATTTTTTCCATATCTGACTCCCCTGACTCATAGGAGTCTGGTGATGGATGAAAAACTGGAAAGAAAAGAAACTTGAGTTTGGATCTACTCTCCAGGCCATTGGCCCCTAACAGTTCTGCTTCTCACGGGAACCCAGGTAATGCCACACACACGACTAACACTAGAAATGACTTTGCCAGGGGGGAAAAAAAAAATCAACTTTTGCACCACTCAAGACTGGTGCCTCTGTCCTCAGCCTCGCTTGCCATTTTGGAATTCTGTGTTTTCACATCTACAAAAGGTTACATTCTGTGGTCTTCTTATGAAGTGAAGAAAACCCATGCAAAGAAAGGAGGAGGGTGAAGGTGAAGCACCTTTCCTCAAAGACATTCTATTAAAGGAATGCTGTGCTTACATTTCCCTATTAATCTTAATAGGACAGAAGTTTATTGCTATCAATTTATCTCAAGTTCTTTGGAACACTTCATTGGGGTTGATGTTTAATTATCTTACATAAAGTCACATCTGCACTGAATTGTCCCATAAGGAAAAATAATTTTCCAATTTCAAGTGATGCTTACTAGCATTTTAAAACTGGGTAAATCTAGGCACACTAAAGTTACACGGACTCATTACACATAATTCTATTCAAAATATTTATATACCTTTCTCACTCTCTCTCTTTATAGCCACTTGTGTCTTCCTGCCTTCGTAGGAATCATGCAGTCAAGTGTTTTCTCATTTTGGCATCTCTTCTATCCAGCAGCCAAGGGGTTTCAGGGTGAAGGCGGCAGGTGCAACTCCACCACAGCTGCCTGTTGTCTGCCGAAACTTTCTCTGGCTCAAGGCCTTCGGCCCGATGAGGTTCACATCTAGGGCTAATTTACTAAATTAGTCATTAGTTTTGAGTTAATTCACCATTTGGTGGATTAAAGATAAGCATGACAACCTTAAAAATTGATTTCTGTACATTTGGTAAAATCAAGCCAAGACTAAACAGTGGAGCTGGGAGCCAAGATCCCAGTAAAACGCTGCATAGAAGAATGTGAAAAAGGATACGTTTCATTTGGCTGAAATCAGATCCTTGAAAAGTAAGGTCTGGGTGGTGCTGAGATAAGTGGATTTCCTAATCCTTATAAGAAGACCTTATTGTGTTTGGTTTTTCAAATACAGTGGCAATAACCTGCACACAACTGGTGTGTTCATGAAAGCCACAGGTGAAAGGAGGAATAAAAAAGGATGACCTATGTATAAAATGAGAAGAGGTTTTAAGAAACAGGTCCAACTAGAGATCATGGAAATTTAAAGTAATGATCACCAAAATAAAACCCAAGAGATACTCAGAAGGTAGGTGGGAAGGGGTGGAAGGATGAGAAATCACCTATCTGGTATAAAGTACCCAGGTGGGAGTGATGATACCCAAAGCCCAGACTTCAGCATTCACTATATAGTGCAGTCATGTAACCAAAAACTGTGTCCCCCTAAAGCTGTTGAAATTAAAAGGAGTCCCAAAGTTTAAAAAAAAAAACTTATAAAATAAAAAGTTACAGTAAAAATAAAAAATAAAATCTAAGAAATTAGCTAAACAGCAGACTGGACATAGCTAAAGAGCAAATTAGTGGGTTGAATAATGCAGTGTGATTCTCCAAGAAGGCAGGAGGGGAAAGTACAAAGAAAAGTATGAGAAAAATTTAGCATTCATGGAGAATATATCCAGAAGCTCCAAAGTCCTCTTAATAGGAGTTCCAGAAGAAAACACAGAAAAAAATGGACAGAGTGAAGTGGTCAGATAATTAATAGAAGCAAATGCCCTAAAGTTGAAGGTAGATTGTCTTAGTTAATTGTGCTGCTATAACAGAATACCCAAGAGTGAGTGATTTGTAAAAAACAGAAAATTATTTCTCACAGTACTGGAGGCTGGGAGTCCAAGATTAAGGTGCTAGTAGGTTTGGTCAAATGGTGAAGGTGTCTCTCTTTGCTTCCAAGATGGCACCCTGTTGCTGTATCCTTAAAGGGAGGAATACCACGTCCTCATGTGGCAGAAGCAATGGAAGGGCAAGAGAGTCAAAAGCTGTATGCCGCCTCTTTTTATAAAGGCCCTAATCTCATTCAGCTCTTAAGGCCCCACCTGTTAATAACTATCACTTTAGCCTTTAAGTTTCAACACCTGAATTTAGGAAAGGACACTTTCACACCATAGCATAAATATAAGTTTGTAGTTTAAAATGTCCTTTACAGTGTCAAATAAAATAAGTTAAAAGAGTAATAACAAACCTACCCTTAGTCATATCTTGATGAAATTTCAGAACAAAGAGAAAATTATTTAAAAACTTCCAGAGAGAGAGAGAGAAACAAAGAGAGAAAGCGTGAGAAAGATCTCACAAAATAGCGAGAATCAGACTTATAGGCAAAAATGGACACACACACAAAGACCAAAGTGCTGAGGGCAATACTTGTTAATATCAAATTCTAAATCTATAAAAAATATAATTAATAAATCAGAAAAATAATAGACATTCATGTGTGTTAAGATTCAAATGAATATAAATCTTTTAAAATAATTATGTAAGCTTGTCCTTTGGAAAAATGGCAAAATGGAAGATAAAGACAAGAATTATTTTTTTAAATGGGGAGGAAACTGTAGAAAGAGCAAGAAGCAAAAACTGGTAAAGCATAGTTATGATTAAATAATTATTGATTGTGAAAAATTAATAATCGGAAATAAATGGGGAATGCCAAAGAGAAAAAGATGCAGAGTATGCTAATGTTCTTGTCTTTTGCAGTAGAAAGGTAAATATATTGATTATATCTATTTTTAAATCTTTTATTATGAAAAATTACAGGCACACATAAAAATAGATTATAGCAAATTTTACTATACCCATCATCTAAACTTAAAAATTGTCCACATTTTGCCATATTCCCATGATATTTTAAGAAAAATACCAGATATCATGATTCTTCACTGCTAAATATTTCAACATACATCTCTAAATAGTGACTTTTTTTGTAACTACAGTAGCATTTTCTCACCTAAGGCAACAATTCCTGAGCATTATTTAATATCCAGTTCATATTCAACTTTCTCTATTTGTCTTCAAAATGTCTTTTTACAGTTACTTTGTTCAAACAAGGGCACACAGCATTTTGTTGACATCTCAAGTCTCAGTTCTGAAGTTAATTGCCCCAGCTCCCTCTAATCTTTCTTTTTTTATATACAATTAATTTGTTCAAGAAACAAGTTGTCCCATAGAACGACCCATATTCTGGACTGTTTGCTTGTTAATCTACAGTACCATTTACCTTGTTCTCTAGGTATAGCATTAACTATTAATAATTAGTAAAGGCTTGCCAGGCTCAGTGGCTCAGCCTGTAATCCCAGTGCTTTGGGAGACCAAGGTGAGTGAATTGCCTGAGCCCGTGGGTTCGAGACCCACCCGGGCAACTTGGCGAGACCGCATCTATACAATAAATTAAAAAATTAGCCAGGTGTGGTAGTGCGCGCCTGTAGTTCCAGCTACTTGGAAGGCTGAGGCGGAAGGATCGCCGGACCCCAGCAGGTAGAGGCTGCGGTGGCCGGGACCATGCCACTGCACTCCAGTCTGTGTGACAGAGTGAGACTCCAACTCAAAAAAAAAAAAAATTATTATTAAAGGCTTAATTATGCTCAAGTTCAATAATGTTGTTAGGAGTAGTTCTAAACAGTGCTGGACACTCCACATTACATCCCATCTTGAAGTAAATTAGGTCAAATTAACCCTTTATAAAGATACTAAATTTAAGCAGTTCAGTTAGTACTAATCTGATTCCTCCATTGCCTCTTATCACACCACTGTGGACTTCCACAGTTGTTTTGTCAATGGCTTCTCTGATGCCTCTTTTGCATTCAAAACTCCCAGACCCGCTCCAGCTCACAGTAGATGCGATCCACTTTGCTAATGACTCCAGAAACATGATGTATGTTCGCTCTGGCTGACCAGGAGACAGACCTGTTCCTTCAACAAGTTTTCCAATAGCTGGTTCCCAGTGGGAGGCACTGCTGACATCTATGAATGCTGTAACAAGGGTACCTGTGGCATTCCAAGCTACTCGAGGAGGCAGCCATCTGAGCCAGTAGCCTACGTCTGCTTCTCAAAATCTCAGGCTTGTGACAGAAGACATTCTTCACCTCTCCTCCATTATAATGCAATTACAAGATACTTTATACTTTGGTAAAATTACTCTTAGGTTTAAGAGGAACAAACAGTAAATAAGAAACTATTTAGCAATTGACAAAATGAAGCACAGCATATTATGAAGCCAGAAAAATACAAAAGTGGCAACAGAAATTAATATATATTGAAAAATAGGAAATTAATGAATGAATAAAAATAGATTTGACCAACAAATAAACCAAAAACTGTCCCTGGAAAAGATAAATAAAATAGACAAATATTTTGCAAATCAGTCTGAGAGGAAAAAGAGAAAACATGTCTATAAACAACACGGGTTATATGAAAAATTATAAGAGGAAATATGTGTTCCAGAAAACATGGGTGAACTTCTGAGAAAATACAGATGACCAGATTGGCTCCAAAAGAAGTTTTCAAACACAAATTAGTGAATATGAGAAATTCATCCATTAATATTAGATAAGGGTGAAAAATTAGTCTATCAATGAATGTAATTTACCACACAGATTGAAGGAGGAAAGCATTATGAAATTCATGACTAACTCATATAGTAATTGCTATATTCTAAACACTGTACTAACAGCTTTAAAAATATTAACTCATTTTAATAAATGCCACAAAGGCATTTGATCAAATTAAATCTTATTAAAATGATAAAATTATATTTTAGGAATAAGGAGAAGCATCACTATTTTAAAAAAATTGTATCCAGTGGAAATCTAAATAGCAAGTATTATACTTAATGGTGGTATCAGAAAACCAATTCAAAATAGTTTAAACAGAAAATATGTTTCTGTAAATAACTTGGACATTCTAGGGAGTTCATCTACATTGTCAATGTCTGGATTCATGGTATTCCTAAGTGGAAAATAAAAGATTATTCAATTTGCAAGGGCTTCCCAATTTTGAAATAGTAATGTATCTCAGTGTATATGAACCAGGATTCAATTTTTTTTAAACCTGAAACATATACAAATTTGTCAGAAATACTTCAGGTGATGTGTCCTGGTCTGACTTCGTTCCAATTAATTCAAGGTAACTACCAATCTAGTGAAAACAGGAGAATCCCTCTGCCCACCTCATTCTCGCCTTATTCTAGTTACCCCCTCCAGCCTCTTCTCCCCGCCCCATCATCCCTCAGCCCGTGCTCAGAGTTTGCTTCTGGTCTGAATGAGGTGTTGCCTGAAGAATTTCTGGATCTCTTCCCAGGCATGCTCCTGAGCTGCCGCGTGAGCAGCAGGGTCCCCTCCCCAGAGCAAGGGCCGGGAAATGCCGGGGTTCCAAGATGCGAAGCTCAAGGGAGCAAAGGGCGGCTCGATGAGGTGGCCCGCCCCGGGGTACACCAGCATCCCGCCGCTGCTTCTGCCGTGGTTCCGCAGCTGGTCCTCGTCCTGCTCAGCATGTGCTTTGCAATCCAGGCATTCGTCATTTTCTCCCACGATGAAAAGGATCCAGCCCTGGGCCTTCTCAACAGGAAGCACACTCTGTCTATTCTGCTCACCCGGGAAGTCTCCCCTGCAGGAGAGGAGGCGCACAGCTCCAGAAATGTGGATCTGCATGCGCTCCTGAACTGGGCCGATGGGTGTCACAACCAGGTCTTTGTACCTGAGTGGAACTCCAGAAATGGCTTTGGGTCCGTTAATGCAGATCGTGGCTACCACCCGCTTCAGGTAGCAGGCCATGGCCAGCCCGATCTCTGCACCTTTGCAAACGGAGAGGACTCCGATTCCTGACCTTTGGATCTGAAACACAGAACAAAGGAAAACAGGAGCTGCCTCATTTGCCAACAAGTTAAATGGAGAGTAAAAGAAGGTGGAGTTCCAGCACTCGCTTCTAGGACTGAGAGCATTACCTACTCACCCTCTCTAAGCTTTATTGTCTTATGTAGGTGATAATATTTACCTGCCTTGCAAGGTTGTTATGAGGATCAAGTGAAAAAACAGAAATAAAAAATCTTCATCAGAGATAGAGTTCTACAAACACAAAATGAGTCTAATGCACCAGCAACATTAGGCATTATGAGAACAGAGGCAGGTAAGCATCCTGAAAATTCTTGTCTCTAGCCAGAGAAAGATGTCTCTCAGGTTCTCTCAAATATAGGTAAGTGTAATATACATTTAATTAATATTTTATAGCTGAAAGGACAGACTGAGAGTGGGAAGTCATTTTTCATCTTGTTCTTAAACCCTGACACAATGATGAGAAAGTAGAAGCTATGCTTTTGGAGAAATGCACACTTTAGGTAAAATTAACTTTACCGACTTAGTCTTTTCAGAAAAAGACTTCCTGGTGTCAGGTATTAGAGGTATCTCATAGCGTCAATCAAGCTTGCCTAGAGTAAAGGGAATTTACAAGGCCTAAGCCATGATATATTGGGCAAGGATTGTAAAAGTCATGAAACTTGTAATCACAAAAGTTATAACGGCTCAGAGGGGGAGTAGGTGGGATTCGATCTTCCAGTAAATTGGACACTATTTACAGGGAAGCCAAGGATCTCCCGAAGCTACCCACTGGGAATGCTTAGGAGATAAGGGGAAGTGCACCCTCCATTAGCTCTAAGGAATGTTGTTCTGGAAGATGCAGGAGAATTAGAATCCTTGTTACACCCTTCTCTAGGGGCTACGGCAATGTGGTGGACATTAGTGGGTCTCTGTGTCACAGGTTCTCCAAGACATCCACAAGTGGTCGATAAGGAAGTCACGGCAGTCACGTCTACCTGATTGCAACATCTCCAAGGAAAAGGATTTAAACCAGGGTTTTGGGGGGCTACGCCGCCACACTCACCTAGAGTGCGGGCCCGCTCCCTGTCTGTGGGGGGTGAACTTTTCTTAAATAAATCTTTTCTTCTCTCACCTCTTTGTGTGTTGCAATTCTTTGCATTTACTTGGATCTCTGGGTTGCCAGCGCGCACCTCTGGCTTGCTGGCTCCGGTGGTGCTGCACCTCCCTGCGCCTCTCTCTCTCTCTCCATCCATCCACCCTCACCCTGTCCATACCCTAACAATAGCTACATATATTTTATCCATAAATTCAAGGATTAATCCAGAAAGCACTGGGAGAATAAAGATGAAAGGTTGGATTCAATAAATAGTTGAATTATAGTACCTGGTCCAATAGGGGAAGGTAATAGGCCACAGAAGTGAACCATTAATTCTCTGATAAACTGAGGAAACAGAAGAGATGGAAGTCTGAAGGAGGAAAGGAAGAGCACTCTGGACAAAAAAAATCAAGTCCCAAGAGACCTAGTTTATTTTGCTCATGATAATGGCCCCAGCACCTTGCTGTCATGGAAATCACCTAATTTTTTTTTTATTAGAGCTTTTTGAGATCCAATCTTTCAAGTATCTGTTCCAACAGTTCTCAGTGAGCCCAAGAATCTAATACTGTGAAATGTCTTCCGAAGTAACCCAATGAGCATCTATGTTTGGGAACCATTCATGTGAGGGAGTGAGGGAGGATGGCTGTAACTGGAAATAGAAAATTGATTAATATGCTAAAACAGTCTCAGGGAGGATGAAGAGGGTGTGATGTATTGTGAAAGGTAGGCATAGAACCTAAAACACTGTGGGATTGGTTGAAGACTTGGGGAAAGAGAGAGGGAAGAAACCAGATGGGCAAAAATGACAAGGTGGATTTATTGAGAGCTTACTATATGCTAGGTCCTATGCTAAATACTTTCTACACATTATCTCAGTCAGTCCTTCCTCTCCTCAAACTGAAATTTAGGAAGTTCAAAAGGTTTACTGAAGACTTAAGACAGTCAGGGGCAGAGGTGGAAACTGAAGCTCATCTGCTGAATCCAAATCCAAATCAAATTTTTGCAATGACTTTCTTCCTTAGACAATGTCATAAAAAGTTACACTTGAAATTTAAAAAAATAACTTGAGGACATTTTAGCGAGAATTCAATTCTTTTCAGGCAATCCTTTAAAAAGATCCAAATATGCTTTTTAAAATCACATATATGAGCCGGGCTCGGTGGCTCAGCCTGTAATCCCGTGCCTTTGGGAGGCTGAGGTGAGTGGATTGCCTGAGCCCGCGGGTTCGAGACCCACCTGGGCAGCGAGACCTCATCTCTACAACAAATCAAAAAATCAGCCGGGCGTGGTAGCACATGCCTGTAATTCTGGCTACTTGGAAGGCTGAGGCAGAAGGATCGCCGGAGCCTAGCAGGTCGAGGGTGCGGTGGCCGGGAACGGCCACTGTACTCCAGTCTGGGCAACAGAGTGAGACTCCAACTCAAAAAATAAAAAAATAAAATAAAATAAAATCACATATATGTTTCATCAACACTGAAGATGATGATGCTTATCATGGCCCATAGGAAACATATCCAGTCTCTTCCTGAGAAGGGTCAAGACTCTCCAGGTTTGGGTGGGAGAGAATAATGCATGTTGGGGAATCAAGATAACTTAGCTTGGAGCAAAGACATTGTCAGATTGGTTCCATCACTTATTGGCTACTTAGTTTAGGCACATTACTTTGAATATACTTTCTCATCTAAAAAAAAGTGAGAATGATATTGATAGTTCTTACTTCATAAGACATTGTGAGTGTTAAATAAGTCAGCATATATAAAGTATTTAGCATAGAGTCTAACAAATAGTCATTCAACAAATGTTTGCTGGTATTATTGTTTTAACATTGTTAGGTTGATCCATAAGGAATAGCTGATATTTGAACATTTTTTACCTGCAAAACAATATGTTCAAATGGGTTAACTTAATAAAAATCAACCCTGACACTTGATCATGGGTTGTCTATTCTTGTTTCTCTTTTTAATCATTAACACAAATATACGTATCAGTACTTTAGAGCTTCCTTGAGAGAATTAAATTCTTATTAAACTGATATTTAATTATTTTCTAAAAGCTGAGTTATAAGATGCACTATTCCAGTTCTTCTCAAACATTAATGTGCATAAGAATCACCTGGGAATCTTGTAAATATGAAGATATAGATTCTGGGATGGGAAATGAGGTTCTACATTTCTAAATCTTCCAGGTGATGCTGAGGGTGGTCCATTGACCACACTTCCAATGCTCTTTAGAATTCTTAACAAATGAATTACTAAAATGACACTTCCTTTTCAGATTCCTTCTCTAGCCTGGCTCCTGGCATTGGATACCTACTTTAGGCTTAGTTCTGCCCCCAGCTCTGAAACTGAAGAGCTAATTTTGCTAATCAGATGATGTAGTCAAATGAGTTTTGCTGGTAATCCTGCTCTGTGATCTTGTGCCCAGGTCTAGTACTGAACTTCTGCCTTGTTCTAAGCCTCAGGACTCTGCAGTGTGACTTACTTTAGCATTATCCACTGCAGAGATAATCATTGATGTTTGAATACTTGTCAAGCCAGAGAATTAATGATTTGAGATCAGTGACTGATAAATAAGTTACAAGCACTTCAAATGAATGGTGTCTTGGCTTTTTTCCACTGAAAATAATCATAATATGTCCACTATTTATTGTCTTGTCTTCTATGTGTCAGAAAGCACTTAACTGATCACAAATCAACTCAGTCTTACAAGGTAGGTATTACCATTCTCATTTAACTGTCAGCTGTGCTATGCCCAAGTCTGTACAGATTGGTAAAAACAGCCAGAGCAGACACTGATGTGTCTTTTTTTTTTCATGTCATGTTGCAAGGTAAAATGAAAAGTATTTTAACTGCCTTGGGATGAGCTAGTAGCAAGTTGGCAGCTTCCTCAAAATATCCCAAGTCCACTTCCAGCAGTTTGTCAGGCAGGTCTTCATAGGCAAAATATGCCAATGCCAGCACTGCAAAGCCACGAGCAGCCAAAAGACTGGCCCGAAATTCTACTAGACCCTCGATGCCCCCAAAGAAATCAATGACTCCTGGGAAAGGGCCTTCCCCTGAGAGCAAAAAGAGAGAAGAGAATGGGATCAGAAAGCGTGAAAAGAGGGTCAAGTAGATAGCAGTGAAAGTACAAACCAAGTAAAATTAATTCCATCTGCACACATGCACAATAGCACATTCGCTTGAAAACATCGTGGGAAATACTGGTTCTCCAATAATTTGATGCCATCTTTTGTATTTCCATCAACAGTGTTTTCTATAGCACCAAAGAGTAGTTTCACCTGGAGGGAGAAAAAGGGCTCCTCGCACTGGACCTTCTCGGATCTGCTTCCTCTGCACCCCAGGGCCTGAGAACCAGCACTGCACGATCTGGCTTGCCCTGGGCTGAACTGCAGAATCTTGGAAACAAAAGTAGTCATATAGATCTAGAGTGACCCCAAAGGGACTATTCATCACGTCCTGCTTGAGTAGCCTCCGGAAAGCCCTCTCAGGCTTCAGAGACCAGAAGAGGCCCATCGGATGGACCCCCACATAGTCACCTCCTAAAGCAGGAGCCCGCTCCAGGTCCACTTCACCAGCCTCATTAGCCTTGTAGAAGGCTTTGGACTGGAACAGGTTCCCCTTCTCATCCTTCAGTGAGGCCTTCAGGGTTACCATCTGGGATGGGGGCAAGCCTGTCACTCAGATGTGCACTGGATCATCTGCAAGGGCACTTGCCGGGATGGCTGACAGCTGGAGCATGGGCAACCAGCAAGGGACCAAGTGGCGCTTCCTGTCCTGCAGTGAGAGAGAAGGCTTTGAGTTGGGGGCATGGTCTAAGAAAAGGCCAAGGCAAAGTTCATGTTAAGTCTAACCAGATTAAACTTCAGGGGACTCAGTGCAAAATATGCAGAACTTTTGGAGGAGGGAGAGTGAGACAGGCAGAAAGTACACACTATTCTCACTTTACATATGAGGAGATGGGTTAAGTGGCATGCTTCAAGTCTCATAAATAGTTGATAGTTTAAATGGGAATTCAATCTATATCTGACACCACAGCCTCCTGTCATAGCTATTATATCACTAGTAAATCTTGGTTTTGTGGTTTTGAGCAAATCGAGTTTTAATTCTTCAGTTGCAATAATACTCGTGTGACCTATTTCACAGGGTGTTTGTTAGGATCCCAATAACATAACAAAGGGTTCTAAAACAACACTACTTTCCAGTCCCCACACCTGTCAAGTATGGGGATAGAGTTACATAAACAAGCAATTTTTTCATGGTGGTTGTTTCTTTTTAGACTCTAATTCCTACCTTACTATTGTTAGACCTCCAGTTCTTTGCAGTTTCCATGATTTGTTCTTTTTAAGGAAAATAAAATTCATACTCTTGTTTCTGCTTTTATGCCTTTCAAATAGAGTTATAAATGTTCATGTTGTTTTTAGTAGAGACTGAAATACACATTTGATCAGCCATTTTTACCTTGCTCAATTATAAGAAAAATCTGAAGTCTTCCTCTCTCCCTTCATTCCTCCCTCTCTTCCTCTATACCTCACTCCACAAAGGATTTAAACCTGTTTACTAATAAAGAGTAAAACAGACATAAAGTAAAATTAAAATAAAATAGGATTTGGGAAAATAGAACTAGAATTACAGACACTTATAGAAAATCGAGAACATGAAGAGAAGAGCATTTTGTGGGCTGTAAGTTTGGCAAAAACTTGAGAGCCAATGGAAAAAGCGTTGCCTTGTCAGTTCCATTGTTCTAATTATTCTCACAGAAAAAGTGATCCATTCCTTGGGGAAAAGGAAAAGTGAAAAAGCAAGACACTTCCAAAAAGAACGTTAGGTCATGATTACAAATATTTTTTATTAACATTGGGAACGTTCTTGACAGAAGAGGGTGGCATAAATTCAAACTTCATGGGTCTTTTATTCATGTTAGGAGATGAGACATATAATATTATAAAGAGCATCTTGTGTCCCGTGCAACATCTCAGCATTCTATAGATGTTTTCTGATCTGATTCCTTCCTGTAAGTCTCTGTATCTGCTGTTCACTAAGAAGACAGCATTGAGTCCATCTCTTCTTGCTATTACTCTCCTTCTCAAAACTTCTATTCAATGCATTGACCCAATGCAGATTTTATTTTTATTGCTAATTAATTTGAATTGCTTACTGTAACTACTCTCCAGCTTGTATCTTTGGGCTACACTGTAGCTGAATCCTGGAAACAAATATAGTCAGATAGGTCCAGAGTAACCCAAAAGAGGCTGTTCATCACATCCTGCTTGAGGTCATTGGAAAGCCCTCTCAGACTTGAGAGACCAGAAGAGGCTCATTGGATGAATTCTATATTGAGTCTTAGCCTCCCAAGTGAATTCCTCAAGGAGTTCAGCTTGTATTTTACAAGGTCAGAATGATTAAGTGACTTCTGCAAGGATATCATAATCAAGAGAGAAGAGGTGCCAGGTTTTCCGACTTAGTTGCATGTTTGTTTGTTTTTTAACTGGTCTAACAGACTATAATTCACTAGTCATAATTGCTCATATTGTTCAAACTTTGAAAAAGCACATGAGTTATACTTTTTCTAAACATTTTTTGCTAAGTGAGAAATTCCTACAGGATGCCCCACAATAGTCTAGGGCTTCCTTTTGGTCAAATCTGAGGATCCACCAGCAGAGAAAAACCCAGTATCAAAGTCCTTCCTAAGACCAGGCTGGCTGTCCCCTTAGACTGTGTGACAGAATCAATCTCCCCCTGTTGTGTGAAGACGTAGTGTCCATATCATCAACCACTTCTGTTGTTTCACACTATATTAATGAAGGCTACTAATGACAAGGTACAGGAATTTCTTAATTTTGAGATTCCCTAGTTCCAAAAAGAGATTTTTCAATCTAAGTCAATTTAATTTTCACCAAGATGGGGAAGGTTGTTGATGATTAGTGAGTGCTATATTGCACAAAGAAGAAGGCAATAGGCTGATAATTTCTTCCTGAATTACTTCCCCAAATTCCCTTTAAGCTCCAGGGAATGAAATAAAGGACTAAACAAACTCTGTTAGTATAATAGAAAATCAGAGGGACATTCCATTCTTGAAAATGAATTTTTATGCTTAACCACACCCTGATACTATGCTATTATTGTAAACATTGCAATATATGGACAGTGTAAGAAGAGTATTTTAATGAGGAATTGTTGTATTTGGGGAAAATTTTCTCATTTTTTAATTTACCATGCTGCTCTGTTTCAGTACACATTTACATTTTACAAATATGTCCGATGGCCTAATAGGGTGAGTTTTGAAGATAAATTATAATGGAAAAGGACTGTAGGACTAGGAACAGTACTCATAAGATGTATTACCATCTTCTGAGTCATTTCACAAGGGATCACACACCAAAAACATCCATCTTTACAATGAAGCTATCAATGAGCTTTTCATTCACGAATAATACAAGTTGTCCTATTTCATCTTACATAGTCTAACAAACCATTTAAAAGTGCAGCATTGGCTGGGCTCAGTGGCTCCTTTTGACCAAAAGTAATCCCAGTACTTTGGGAGGCCAAGGTGAGTGGATTGCCTGAGCCTGCGGGTTTAGGACCAGCCTGGGGAACTTGGTGGGACCTCGCCTCTACAATAAATAAAAAATCAGCTGGGCACATACAGGTAGGGTGCACCTGTAGTTCTAGCTACTTGGAAGGCTGAGGTGGAAGGATCGCATGAGCCCAGCCGGTCAATGCTGGGGTGGCCGTGAGCCTGCCACTGCACTGCAGCCTGGGCGACAGAGTGAGACTCCACCTCAAAAATAAAATAAAATAGAATAAAATAAAAGGGCAGCATTGAGGCTGGGCATGGTGGCTCATGCCTATAATTTCAGTGTTTTGGGAGGGGAGGGCAAGAGAAGTGCCTGAGCCCACAGGTTCAAGACCAGTCTGGACAACATGGCAAGAACTCATCTCTTCAATAAATTTTTTCAAATAGCTGGATGTGGTGGTGCACACCTATAGTTCCAGCAACTTGGAAGGCTGAGGCAGAAGGATGGCCTGAGCCCAGCAGGTTGAGGCTGCAGTGGCTGTGATCATGCCACTGTACTCTAGCCCAGGCCACAGAGTGAGACTCCAACTCAAATCTTAACCCATACCATCTGACCCTACATATAAACTTCAATTATTTTCTTCAAATAAGAGTAGAAATATAAAAATTTATTCTTCTTTTAGGATCCACTTTTTTTTCTTTCTCAATACTTTCTTATCTTTGCTTTTTCTGACTCTTAAACTTTTGGTTAAATATACACCCTGGTGCATACTTTGACAGGACAGATAATGAAATACCAGAATTAAATTATAGCCCACAAACTCACATGTGCACAAAATGTAATTTATTTTTTCTATTTTTCTAGCTTCCAAGTAGTTTCTATCCTGAGTCCTGTTCTTTCTGGTGGCAGAGATATAATCCTAGAACGTAGAGCACCTTGCTTTATCTTGGAGTTCAAGTAAATTTTCTGTGACTTCCGCATTGCTAAAAGACTTGAGGTTAGAAAGCTCACACATTACTATACATTTTTCTGAAAGTGTTTTACAATGTATACCAGAGGTCCCAAATTCAGATACCTATGAGGATCAGGTAGGTGATATAAATGATCTACAGGTAAAGTCCAGGTATAAATAAAATACTGGACTGTAGTAAACTAAAGACTACCTGCCCAGCCTAAAGGCATTCAAATGTATTCTATTAAACAACAACAAAACAAGGTGTGAATCAAACAAAACACATCCATTTGTCATCTCTGCACTGTATATCTGCCATTAGGTTTTTTTGTAACCCAAAAGGCAGAAGAATTTTGTTTGTTTTTCTCCTTGGGATGTGTCACCTTTTTCTAAGGCAATGGATATTGACTTGCTTCCCTTCAGGGGAAGAAGGACAACAAAGTCAAATGGAATACCAAAATGTAGGGGTGGCAAGTGAGAGGTGAGGACCTACTTACTTTCAGTAGTACATGGCAAGTTGACCTTAGCTCCAACATCCAAAGTCATCAAACCTTCTTGCCACCTGTCCCCATGCTTAGTCTATATGACTTGTTCCTACTTTTCTTGTACTCCATGTCTGTTGCTCTATTCTTAATCGGATCCCAGCTAATATAGCTATAGCTACAGATATAGATAAAGATATAGATAGATATAACTATGTGAATTCATAACTTTGTTAGTTGATAAGGCTTATTGCCTCTCAGACCTACTGCCTCACAGGCTTATTTTCAGAGTGTTAAGTTGTAAGAGGCTTAAAGCTTATCCTTTCCAAAACTGCACTGCTACCATCATCAATAAGCCATCTGCTGTGTTTGGGGATACCCATCTGAAGAGGACTCCGTTTCCTGTGGGCTCTTCCACTTGCATTTCAGAGCACTTAACATATTGAACCTTACATTAAAATAATGTATCCTGTGTTTTCTCTCTCCTGTTAATTTACACATTTCTTGAGGGCAGAATCCTGTCTTATTTGTCCATCACTTTCACTGTACTTGGAGTTCTTCATGTCCCATGTGTTCATAAATGTTTATGACTATATACTCTTCTTCACTTCCAAAATCACTCATTTTTTCTCATAATTTTTCTTCTTCACAGTCTTTTTTTTTTTTTGTAGACTCTACAATGTTGTCAGACAGATATCTACAAAATTCAAAAAAATTAAATTGCTCTCCTGCTTTAAACTTCCAGTCGCTCCCAGATTTGTTTAAGAGTAAAGTTGGGTCTTCCTCCAC